AGGAGCATTCACAACTCATCCAGTGAGTCAATGAAGTCTGGCAGTGACCTTTGCAGACCACACTGCATACGTTCTACTGACACTTGCATGAAGCTCATAAGACAACAGCACTCGATAAAATTGTGCATCTTCTCACATATTCTGTGCATTGTCCTTGCTAAGAGTTAATACGCTGAAAAAAAGCTTGGCTCTGTGCTGAAACTCCATGTACCTTTCTGCTTCAGGCCCTTCCTCCTGCAGTATTTGGAATTCTCCATCTGTTTACAATGGAAGTGTACACATATTCTGTTCCATCCAGGCTACTGACCGACCACTTCATCAGGATGTTTCCCAAATACCAGTAGTCTTGTCAAGAGTTAATTCCAGATCTCCACAGCCTGAATTTGCTTCCAGATTCAAAGCACAATGCAGTATTTGAGACTGGGCTTGGTTAAGTCACCTTATGCTCACAAATTGCATGATTTGCTCTTCAGCTTCATGTCAATCAAATTTTTCTATCACCTAACTCACTTTTTGTATCCTCAGCTTAAAAGCCCCTTTCCAAGTTTTATTTTCATTTGTATTACAGTAATTACATTTTTCTGATATTTAGAGTTAGCTTGCTCTGGGTAAAATGAAAAACATTAAACATTACAAAGGCATTAGAATTTGTGAATGCCAGAAATAAAACTACCTTCTGGCCTTCTTGCTCACTAATATCCACTGCTACAGATCCAGGGCAATATGATCCTTACTCTTCTACGTTTCTAAAGAACTTCAGCTCCAACCAAGTTTCTAATTTCTTGTTCTTCTTAGTTCTTTAACCTCCGTATACTCTTGGAATCATACAGAATTCAGAAATCACCCTAGACCCAAGCAGATCCTCCTTATTTGGAGACCAGCTCCACCTATGCTTTCAAAATAGGCTGCAAACCCTGTATTTGGAGTCCTTTCTCCAAACTGCCCATCTCTGAAACTCAAATATTTCCAGACAATTCCCAGTACCACTGCTACCTGTACCACTCCAAACTAGAGATCCGCTACAAGCAATTCCTTCCCTGTACTCTCCAGCTACATTTGGTTTCCTGAGATGTTATTTGGGTTTGCAAAAAAAAAAAAAAAAAAAAAACCAAACTACAAACACAAACACCAAAAAATGAAGCTTATGCATACCACTCTTGTTAAAAGTCAACACTACTAGAGAGCTTTTTAAGCCTCAGCCTGAAAAACAAACTTGTTCTTTAACAAAGCCAGGTTTCCATCTGAAATGCTAAGCAGATCAATCTTGAGAGAGTGAATAAAAGAGCATGAACATCTAGCTCATGACTCTACCATATTTGATGACAATTCACTACTTTTACTCCATTTCTTGAGCACAGTTCATAACTGTCAAATCACATCAGCCCTGACCCATAGAACTCTACCCAATCTTGCTGAAATATTAGGAGCAAGATGTATATAGACAATGCACACTTGTATAACCAAGATGCTCCTTAGTACAACCCAAAAGTGCCGTAGTTCTCGGAGAGAACATTTCTCTCTCCAACCCTGAAAATTACACCAACAGCCAGTGGATTTCTAGGTACAATTAAATGTATTAGAGTTTCACGTAACAAAACTAATTAATTGCATCTTCAAAACCTGTATTTCAATAGTAAGATGGAAGAACCTCCCTGAGGAATAGCAACCTGCATTCCACTGACTGCTAGCCAAGGATGTGGAGGAAGGGTCTTCCCGTTTTAACTGGAAGCAGAAATAATCACTGTATTTCACTCCTCAGCAGGTTGCCACGCTTTTGCAGTGACTTACAGGCCACATTGCCAATTCTACTCTCCCGGTTCATCGACTGCAAATCAAAAAGCATTAGAGAAAGCAGGAACAATTGTGAGACAACTTGGAAGAATTTTCATAGAATCTGATGTAGCATTTCTCTATTAGGAGTTTTGCAAGTAATGTAAAATTAAAATATCCACAAAGCATTGCTTCAGAACATGGCTATAACTTATTTTTAATTAAGAAGTTGAGTAACAATTGCTTTGTATTACAAGCTGTTGGCACAGAGGCAACAAGGACGCTTTCTGATTCTCTCTAATGTGCACATTAAATTCGAAATTGAAGAACACAGTTTCGCCACGTTTCCTAAACCTTTTTCTAGTGCATACTGGCCAAACTGCAAACAGGTTTTTACTCAACTGAATATGAATACAGCAGCCAGTGTAAAGACAGTGTGCTAAGAATATCATAAAGTTTCCTACTTAAAGCTCTATTTTTATTTTGCATGTCCTGAAAAGTATTACAAACTTACGGAACAGTCTTATTGCAAAATTCAAGACAGAAGAAATACCTGTAGTTGATCTACTAATTTTTACAGCTAGAATAATATTTACAAGATTAACAGTTTTATATTTTCCAGGCTTGGTCCTACAGACTGCGCAAAGATGACCAACACCACACCAGAATGTTGAAACAATATTCAACATCGTCCCACAGGAAGCCTCTTTAACCAAATTAATTCAAACTGGTCTAGTTGTGACCCTGTTACATAGGCAGAAAGTTGAAAGTCCAAAGCAGCCAGAAATGAGACATTTTTAATATCTTTAAACATGATGTGGGAAAGGGGAAAACCGCAAATTAGTTAGCAAATCCTGCTAGACTAGATAGATTTGAAAACGTGGAGGAAAGGTTTTTGGAAGCTAAAAATACATGTGCAAGAAAGATGAAAAAAGCAACCTTTAGAATACATGCAATCCATCTGGAGAAAAATAATCCAGAACTACAGCAGATGAGAAAGACGGGAGTGCAGCGATGTGGAGCAAGTCTGAAAAGCAAGAGTGGGAAAAATTGTACAAAATTTTCAATGCACCATAACAGCAAAAAAAGAAAAAAACAACAGTTTTCGACTGCATAAGTAAAGCCCTGTAGTCCAAAAAAAAGCAGGAAAAAACCACCCTCTGTGGGCTTCTGGTAAGACTATGCTTATCACATTACGTACATTCAAACATATCCCAGAATGAGGGGAAAAAAAAAAAAAAGAAGGGTATTTTGGAGAGAATTCAGAAGAGAAAAAAACGAAAGCTGGAAGATTGAATTACAAGAAAAGATTAAGGGAATACAAAGCATTACTTCACTAAATGGTGACTAAGAGCAAGGGTACAA